TAATTACATATATTTATACATTTCTGAAATCATAAAAAATCATTGTGAAATAAAACGTAAGCATCAAACATCATCATCAAATGATTATAGCTCCATAAATATTTTCATCGCAATGACGAATAACGGAAGGACGAGTGCCCTAAGCAGGAAGACTAAGAAACGAGGAAGAGAGTAAAGAAGATGGTGGCACGTCTTGAAGTCTTTTTATTAGCACGGAACAAAGATGTGCTCCATTTAGTGACGTTGCCACCATGGTTTTGGTTGCCATGGAAACCTTGTGCACGCAATGTTGCAGTCTCAAACGTACTCTTCAGAGATTTTAATTCTTACTTCGAGAACGCTCCGATGGGTCCTTCCACCTCGCGATCTACGCCACTGCTTGAATACTCGGATTTCACGACATGTTTACAAAGATCCTAGAGATAAGTTGAGAATGGCCGCCGCAGCCCATGCCTCCTCCATGGGTGTAAGGTGACAGCTGCCTGCGCCTGCGTTACATGCACACAGGGTGTCCGAAAATTAGCTTGCCATCTCGTTCATGATTTATGCACATGCTAATTAATTAAGAGTGCCATTCGCAAGCGCGTATAAAATTCATTACGTGTATCTTAATTCTTGATACTATGAATTAAAGCTATAAATTCTATAAGATATTAATTAAGACTCATGTATGTTACATATTGCATATAAAAATTTATCAAATAAATTTTCATTGAAGATTAAGTAAGATAAATGAATTACCTTTGTTACAAACAATCCAATAATGGTAAAATTTCTTAGTTATTGTCTTGTGAATGAATAATTTTGTATTATTCGCACTAACAACAGATTTTCTAAGTCCTATAATCATAAAAATGTTGTCTTTCTAATTATGTATTTTCAATGCAATGAATTACATCAGCAACAAAAGATAGTATTTTCGAATTGTACACCCCATATAAGCTGACATACGTTCGTATATATCTACCTAGGCGAATCCCCTGGTGTGTGTGTACAATCCCCACCCCTACGTACACATACATACGAAAGAGAGAAATATCTCCCTTACTTAGCTGGGGCTGAACTCACCCGCAGGATTTCTACACGTGTGTGCACTTATTTTAGCAGGATCTTATCGTAAGGATGTGTCGTTCGACGAGAAACAAAAGACTAGTTTTTTAACCAAAAAGAAAAGCACTTTCACTTCTTTTTTTTAAGCTATTCCGATTGATGGTAGTTTTTTTATATTTAATATTTTATCCAAGATATAAGAAATATAAATAAAATTTGTACCTGAAATATAAAAAATTTATTTTTTGATTTTATAATACTTACAACTAAATTAGTACTGCTATAAGACTTACCATCAATTTTTCTTGTAAATAAAAAACTGCAGCAAAGTTTAACGAACGCACTTCAGTTGTGTAAACATTATCTTACCCATCGTTTTCTCTTTTTTAAACATACAAACTGTTTTGATATTATATCAAACTTCAACTCCAATTCCAGAACGTAATGCACAAATCCACTGAAAAATGGAGGATCATGTTCCCTAGTGAAAATAAAAACAAATATCTAATTATCCCAGTGAAAAGAATAACTTTTATAAATCAGTATTTTGTTAGAAATAAAAAGATAATGGCGATTACCTTTTCCGTCAATATGTCTGCCAAAATGGTCGACGAGACCCATTCGATGAAAGTCAGTTTATTTCGGTAATAAAAGGCATATGTACCTAAGTTCTTGGGCCTGAACAAAGTAAATAGTCTACCCTGTACTCGTGCATTTTTGTTAGAGTGCTTGGGTCGTGCACCCTTGGGTGGTCGTGCGCACATCGGAGCACACCATTTATTCGTTAGAAGGATAGACCACAAGTCTCCCGCATCTTCAAGATTCGCACAGTACTTACTTGCACGTCGTCTTATTTATCTGCACACAAGAGGGTTCCTTGAGCATATATAGCATGAAGGTGCCATTATATCATAAAGGTACTAACCCCCATACCGCCTCCTTTTCCTTCGCTAAGACAAAGACTGCCTCGACCAACCCACAGGATGTCGACGCCATGTCTCCTTCACGTGCCTCTCTTTATTACCTTCGATCTCCATCGAACGACTCTTGGGAAACTCGACGAGATCCATTTCGCGTAACGCTCCATGGGCTATATTGCATTTGTATCCGTGGACCATCGGGACACCAGTTACGTAGCTATTTTTCTTTCTTTTCATTTTATTTCAGAGATGCTGTGCGACTTGATCATTATCGTTACATCCATCCGGCGAACATAAACAGTGGATTCATTTTTGTGGATCAAGTTTGATCTAATTATTTCATAAAAAAGAATATTTTATAAAACTAGCTATGCTTTTTTTAATAAAAGTCGAGAGTATAGTAGTGCCGAATATTTATTAACACTAAAACTACCACAAAGTCAAAGTGATTTGTTTCAGATATCTTATTTTTGCAATTTTTTAAAATATATTGCTGCTTTTGACAAAATTTATGTTGACTTTTATCCAGATAAAAATATAATTGTATATAATTATGTCTTTATCGTACCACTAGAACTATTATCATTTGTATATGATATATTCAGTTACTTATTATGAGTCAATAGCTTTAGTGTTAAAACATTTTTCAACTTACCCAAAGACGTTTTGTTTTCATGAAAAGTCGATACGATTCCTAGGTAAAGGATCAATAAAGCCAACTTAGAAAAAAAAGTTGTTGCAGTGTATACCTAAAAATTTATATAAAATAAAATTTCTGAATATATTTCGGAGATGTCTAGAAAGGTACCTTTGATTTACCTGAAATCGGTAAAGATCCCTCCTATCCGTTGTACTGTGAAACTACGGTCAGATTAGGTATACTTATCTGACCCTGCCGCACTTATCCGTTATTATGTAAAAATTCTAATCCCCTTTTGTCATTTCTTGACGGGCCATTCTGATCGAGATATTTTTTACACTTCGATGAATCTTTTGTTTATCTTTCACAGGTACTACTTAGGTCAAAAGCGCGTTCAACACTTCCTCTCACGAATAAGCATCAGGAAAAAACGAATTCACATAATCATATTCGCCACCGTGTGCACTTTGATGCGAGAAATATTACGTATCAGGGATGAGAGAGTGAGATAATAAAGCAAGCGTTGCACATTCTCTATCCCGCATTCGAGCACATTCTTCTTTATCTCACATTTCGTTTTGCTCTTTCTTCGACGTCAATTTTAGGATGATCACTTCTTATTCAAACAGATTGCCATATTTTTCTAAATAATGCAAAGGAACATTAAATATCAACAATAAAAGGAATAAAATGCTCAAAGTAATAAAATTAATATAACTTGTATACAATAAATTTTGTAATAATTTTGTTGCTATGTAAACAGTCTATAATAATAAATTTCTAAAATACCTTCTATTGGAGACTTTTTAATAATGTCAAAGTACTATTTGTAAACAATTATAAATGTAATAAAAATAGGTTAAGATACATACGTGTTCCAATTTATATAAATAATTAAAAGAATATATTTTTTAGTCCATAAAATAAGACGTCGCGTAAAAAGTAGTTTTGAAAAATTTCACGGTAACATTATCTAAACTCTCAAGGAAATTTGAGAATCCATCTAGTTCGTATAAAACGCGCATCGGATGTAAGAGCAGGTGGTGCGAAATTAGGTTGCTACCCTTGTCTCGCAGCATCCTGATTATCATAGTCAAAAATATTAGCTTCGTCTCATGGGGGACATTTTCATTACGTGAAACCTTACACCGAGAAAATATTCACGGGTTAGGATAATTAGCAAAAAGTCTGATTTTCTTCCAATTCGCATACCATACTGCAACATATTCCTAGAAAAATGATATGAAGATATATAACGTATATAACATTTATATTATCGTCATTCTTTTGACGAGAGATAATTGAAAAACAAACATAACCCAAAAAGCTACATTTAAAAAATACCGTACATAAAAATAAATAAGAACCATCATCGGTTCATCTTTTGTTCAAAAATTATTTTTATTTTAACGCGTAATGACAGGTTGGACAAACATCTCGTGCCACTTTTATCGCGCCACAATCGATAAAAAAGCAAAAAAGAAAGAACATTCTCCTTCCAAGAAGGCAGCGAGTATGACGTAGGGCCGGTGGACCTCCCGTCAAGAATTCTCTATCTCCGATTATAAAACAAAGGGGGAAAAACGTACGCGTACCTTGTGAACGCCACGCAAAAAAGAAAAATAACATGGACGATCGTTGTCGCATCACATCTCCACCACTTACATTGAAAAACCTGTCCCGTCGAAAAAAGGATGTTAATTCCAAAATAATCGGAGTGTACGCCGCATGTTGTCGAACAATACGGTAAACCGCGATCTCTACAGAGGTCACTACTAATTGGTGGCTCTATGGCAACGATCTTTGGCACGTGGAGACCTCTTCACGGATTAAAATCTCTCGGCGTGAATTAGAGATGGCCACCATCGGTTACGCGTATTCTGCTGCTAATTCGTTAACCCCGTGCTGTGCATTCCTTCGCGGTTATCAAGATCGTGTGCATAGACCTTAATTACTATTCCACGATGGGTTCCTTCCTCGGGCCGTAAACAAAAAAAGCAGCGCGGGCCTGTCAGTCGAAAGCGATTCATAAAAACGAACGGTGACAGGAGGTGACAATTATTCGAACAAGGGGGTAACCTGGCTATATCCTTCTTCGTCTCGCATTTAGACTGGCTCTTTGTTGTTTCTTTTCCTTGTCTGACAATCGAGTGGCCAAGCGAGCTGCCATTAGCCTCTCTCATTCTAATTAACGAGCGACCTGTGCGCGTCCGACCAACGAAACGAGACGACGAATAGGAGTACTAACGGCAGGATGAAGATGGAGGATAAAACAGAGAAAGGAGATGAACGAAAGAGAAGGATGTCGAACGAGCCGGCCAACCACGTGACCACCGGGCGGGGGTGGCAGGCGACATTTCGCATGCTCAGAACTCCACAGGCTGCAGCATATCGCACACGGAGCCGATACCCTTCGCAGGGAAACAATAGTGTTGACTGCGTTCGCGACATAAAGAATCCATCAAAGAGCCTCGAACGGAAAACGCGTATCGGGTCGACGTAACCTCGAAACAGATCGACTGCTGCAATTCGCTTCGACTGATCGGCTCAAAACATACGTTCATGCTGGATTCCATGGTTTCACCCTTCGCGTGATACACGGATAAAGCCGTCCGAGAGATGTTTTCTCGCGAGATCGCCAGTCAAGCTCTCTCGCTCGCGTTACGTTTGTAGTTTGTTCAGACAAGTGACTTTTTGCACGGATCTTCGTTGATCAAGCGTTTTTCTTGGGTGTCGTTAGGAACAATCAGTGATAGTGCATCCGTCGCTTGTCATGATGTTCTCGTGGTTGTGGAAAGTGCGAGAAAAGTGAGAGGTAGTGTGCTTAAACTCCATCAAGTGCGCCGCATACACGCATTCGCGTATACACGACACGAGCAGAGGGATGATGATGCTACTATCAGGAGGGAAGAACCGAATACAGCTTCCTTGATCCACGAATATTCGCCGCGAAGCACCCTCGTTCTTGGCCCAGCTTAAACACCGGATACAAGGTTTGAATGAATATTCGATTATTATATTGTCCGTCGCTTGTTCCCATTTTGCAGCGATGTAATTCTTACATTTAAAATAAAAAATAACAATTTATAAGTACTACATGTATAAATTACATAATGATATTTATACATGTATATTATAGGTAACAAGTAATTTTGTATATTTTAATTTGTGAAAACAGATGAGCAAAACTCGATAAGTCATAATATCAAGAAATTAGAAATTAATATTATCTAAAGAAATGATTACTATTATCTAAAACCTGCTTTCACGAAGCGTTGAAAATAGCAATCAAAACAAACGAGGACAAGAATCGGACAAATTTGTTGATCGAGTGCCACGTGGGAAGCGCAATGTATTCCCTCTGTTTTACATGTATACGTTCCTTAAATTATTAGATGGACAGGAGTCACGCACTCTACGTGAATATGCCTCTGTACATGCACACATGTCCATAAATACATCTATAGTTACACTCACACGTGTAAATGTCATTATCAATTGAGCATGCGTAACTTATGCATCTCATTCGGCTCGTTACCAGTAATGTATTTTAATTGGCCAACCGCTGCGTAGTGCCAAGTAATTCGTACTGAAAAGCCTAGTGAAATTTTTGCTCTAGGAGAATGCCCCTTGCTAAAAGCAATAAAAACAGATCGACCAAAAACGATCATTTGAGATAAGCTTGCTGGTAGGACGAACAAAATGTTTTGGGACGAGTTCGTGATTTCCACGGTCTGTTTCATGGGGTGAGGGAGAAGAGAAGAAGACGACGAAGGAAAGCCAGAGCATTCCGGGACGGAGGAGAAGCTTTTGTCTTGGTCCCGTAGTGTAACCATCCCTTCCTTATTTTTCTTCTTTCCTCCTTTCAAATGTAAGCTGACCGCGGCCCGTGGGACACGAGTGTCGCGCACGAGAAACCTCTGGCCGCGCATTCCCCCCCTCTCTCTCTTCTCTTCTCTCCTCTCCTCTCCTCTCCTCTCCTCTTCTCTCCTCTCTCCTCTTCTCTTCTCTCCTCTCCTCTCTCCTCTTCTCTCCTCTCCTCTCTCCTCTCTCCTCTTCTCTCCTCTCTCCTCTTCTCTCCTCTCTCCTCTCTCCTCTTCTTTTCTCTTCTTTTCTCTTCTCTTCTCTTCTCTTCTCTTCCTTCTATTCTTCTTTCGTTTCGTTGCGTTTCTTTGACGGTTGACGGACAGCGGCAGAGCAACCAACTCAGCCACAATAAACACTTAGGCGCACGCTCTATTTAGATAAACCTAAGCTCCTTTCATTTCCTAATGAAAGTGGGTCTTCGTGCCTTTCCAAGAAAATAAATAATAACGTAATTTAGAATAATCTATCGATATGAAGTGAAATACGATTTAGAATAAGATCATAGAGAATGATTATATTGAATGGGTAAATAGGGTTAGATATAGAGATAAATATTTAGAGAATTTTCCGTGAACGATGGAAGATAACAATAAAGAATTGAAGATGGCAATAGGATAGTTTATATGTCTATCTCATCCTTGAAAGGTATTATTGTAAAACACCTGAATTTTCAGAAAATCTGAGAAAATTTTTATCAATATATACCTGTTTCCTGGTCCTTGTGCTAAAAGATGATCTCTTGTTAAAACCCAATTTTTCCTGATGAAATAAACAGAGAGTTAAGCTGAAAAATGTCAATGATCGTGATAGAGTAATAAATATAATAAAAGATAAAGATACGTATCATAGATATCATAAATAAATGTAGTCATTATTACTTATTTGGCCCATATGATGATACTCCTTTGGAAATACAATGGCTTCGGAAAAATAATTCGTCGAAAGTTAAATTAACTTTCAAAACCTTTTCGCAATCAAACCTGCCAATTAAATATAATTTTCAATGAATTAGTTTTTACCTCGATAGCTTTTTTTCGTTTAAATACTCACCAACAATACGCTAGACATAAAAGCGTGATAACCATAAGGTATACTATTTCAAACAAGATCAATTAATTCCGGTAGCCAAAAACTGTTAACCAAAATCAACAAAAACCGTTTCCCTTGAAAACCTATCGAGACAAAAATCAAACTCTCGATTCGAGAAACGAATGGTTACAGTTATCCGTACAGGTTAAAAGTAACAGTTTCACCGATCATCGTGGTACAGTGTTCGGCGAGAAATTCGGATGCAGTTTGCGCGCGTTTTTCTTTTCCACGCTTTTCCGGTATCATCCGATACAAAAGGAAAAAACGAAACGACGATCCACCGTGATCGTTTAATATCCCGTGCGCTGTCCATTGTTTCAAACGATTAGTCGACTATTTTTTCCCGACTTTCAACGTTGTCCGAGAAGCGTGTACGTTTTCGGAAAGAAAAATCGAGCGACTCTCTGCCTGTTGTTCAAACACATGGCCGCGCGCTAATTGATTCATCGTCGTGTTCCAGTGAGCGACGTAACTACCAACCGACGCGATGCGTGTCACGGGGAAACAATTGCTTTCATACCCGTACACACAAGTACATACGTATATATCCACATGTCCACACATGGGGGATCGAGTATCTCCGATACGATTGTCTGTACTTTTCACGAAACGATCGTTGCACTGACAATGATTTATTCAATTACAAACATCCGACAGAAAATATTTACCCGCGCCCGCCGCGACACTATTGCCCCCTCGTAGGGGAACGCGTAATTAATCACGAGCCCTAGTTAGATTCGATTTGTTTACAGAATTATAATTTTATTTGATTTTTCCTTTTTCTTTCGTATCAAAAAACTAATTCTATGCAAGGAATAATTAATAATTTTGGCTTTCATAGGCGGATAAATTGTTATTTATAAAAATTGAAATTTTTTAAATCTAGTTACTTTTAAAAAGTTCTAGTTATTTATTTTATAATATTTGCTGAATTTTTCATTACATCTTGTGTTTTTAATTGTTTAACTTTGGTATTGAATGCATACAATATCACGGTGCAAGAAAAAAGTTTGTAAATAACAGGTGTCAATTATTTTGAGAATATGCAAATTTAATTTGAAATATGTTCTTAATTCAAATTGCCGATTGTTCTTCTATAATAATTTAACTCTTTTCCTTGATGTTTTCAATTAAATAATTTAAATACTGTATCGGATAATTGAAAGTCGTGAAAATTTCTTTAATTTTATTATGCGAGGTACGTTTTGGTATATGTAATTACAATCGCCTTTACGGTAGGTAGCGTAAGAAACTGTGTATACATTGTTAGTTTGTTGAACTTTACCAACGGTAAACAGTTTTGAAATCCTCTTCCGCTTGATAAATGGTAATTTACAAACGAAAAGTTCAGTAACCTTCTATACGTTTGAATATCGTTAAAAAAATTATACCGAAATCTTAATTCAGTCTGAGTTGATATTCGACACTTTATTAATATCTGAATTAATATTTAAAAGCATTCTAAAATCTTCTAAAATCTCAATCTTTTTCAAATTCGATTTAAATTTAGTTTTCACTAAATGAAAGAAAATTTTCTTTGAATTTCTAATCGATTATTATAAACTTTTGTATCGATTACATTATAAATAATAATATACATGCATGTATATTTGCAATAATATACGTACACGAATGTAAAGCATATTTCCTATATTTATAATTAATATCTACAATTATAATTATTATTAAATTTGAATTCATATGAAAAATATAGAAGATTCATTATATTAAATTTATCTAAATTACAAAGCCGGTATTAGGTAAGAAAGTCAAGGAACTAATTCGTTATACAACAATTTTCTTATCCAAATTCTTAACACGAAAAATTAACGAAAAATTTCTTTACTCTCCGCAGTTTCAAAATTACCTAGGCTCACCATTCCATCTGCTGAAACTTAGCCTTCACTCTATGCAGAAAAACCCACTCAGGCAGTCGGAAAATAAAACAGCTGTCGCAGAAATGCAACAAAGACACCCACTTCGAGTTTTCTGTCTATAAGAACAAAAGACGTACAGGAAAATAAGTGAACCTGACAAAATAGGCTTTTTGGAGGCCACTCTCGAGCGCAGCATCATCAGCAGGCAAACCAATCCGCAAACACAGACCCGACCACAGAGAATAGAGAGAGTCGACTAGGATCTGTCCATAAATAGATCGGAATTTAATCTCGCGGACGCGGTACGATATCATTACGATATCGTCGGTGTGAAAGCGCCCTTATGCAAGAGAGTCTCTTTTTCGATGTATAGTGCACTGTGAAGTATATAGATACGGATAAGGGCGGAGCACGAACAGATATAGCGACTTGGCAACATAAAGAATACATAATGTAAAACGTCGTGAAAGGAGGTTTCATTGGCTGTTCTCGAAGGTTCCTGGTGTACGCCTACCCATCTGGTCACTCCACCTCTTCGACACGCAATTGGCAGACAATAACGAAGCTGCCCGCTTCGTACACTAACCCTTTTCCCATCAACCGGAACACCATGGAACCGAGGAACACTTCGTGATCGGCTACCGATTTTGGTCAACCTATTTTTCTTCCTAGACAATGCAAAATATGAAAGAAATCTTCTTTAATCTCCTTAGAAACTTGAGAAGTTCTCAAGGCTAGGAAAAGATGATTATTTGTTATTCTTCTGAGGAAGATAATGTACGTATGTATCATGTAACGTTCATCTTAACTATTCCTGAAAGGATATTGTTCATTAATGGAATACTTGTTCCTAACAATGTACTTGAATCGAAGAAACACGAAATTTGCACGTCTGTGTGTGTGTTTGTATATATGTATACATGTGTGTCAGTAACGATATAACATATTAACAAGTAGGAAAAGTTGATTAGACTGAATTTATATTCTGGTTACGATTTAAATCATTTAGACGTCGTTTTTTAATACTGTAGGCGATTCAATGTGTAATTGAAAAATTCGATGAAAGTATCACGTAATGGTTGACCAGTATGAAAAATAATGAAAGTACACCGAAATTCCGCTCTAGGGAGTTTCATAGAAAACATGCTTTGCTTCAATGCAAATAAAGGGTCGGTGCTTTGTCGTCTATTGTACCCCTTATAGTACAATGTTGATAAGTGTCTCTTGAAGGCAAGGTATTTTCTCTATTGTTCATATAAAATGTCTATTTTCGTAAAGATATATATGTACATACATAAAGAAATCTGTATTTTAAATATTAAAAATTCTTTTTCTTTTATAGTGTTTAAAAATGGCATACTCCATCCAAGTCTGATCGCCAAATACAGTCTTGAGACAAGTAATGAAATATGATGTTTAAATTGCGCAAAATGCGATTACATGTATAATAATTGCATGACTCATCGGGAAATTGCATAAAAAGAAGAGGGAGAAAATCCGATCGATGCGTTACTCCAGATGTCCTTCGTTTACTAAAGCAATTGAGCTATCCCATCAACAAAATTCTATGATTAATTGATCATATGACTAATCGATCATTCGCTGGACGCGTTACGAAATTCAATGTTTTAAATGAAACCTTAAAAGCAAGTCCAGAAATAATGGTAGAATGTTCAATTATGAAAGGATTCAGACTGCTTGGTACCCTCCATATTTTCAATATTAAACCGAAAAGTATCTTCGATTACTCGCCGATGATCAATTTCCATTCGTTCCTTATCGTAAAAATCGACCCACTATTTTATGAAAACGTCCCTTCTATAAAAAAACATATTCTAAAATTACATTAAATTCTATATTACGAACTTAAAATGGTCCACGATCCTTTACGATATTTTTCGAAGTAAAATAACAGAAAATTATATCAGAGTAAAATTGCGAACAAATTTTCACGAAATTTTAACATTAAGCAAATATCTCTACTTAATTTTCTTTGAAAATTACATATTATACTTGTCGCACTTGCAATCTACAATATTATTGTACCAAATGATCGAGTGTGTACACTGTATACGATATACCAAAGTGATTATGACTTGAAAACGATCTACAAACTTCACTGTAAAATTACAGAAATTACAGAAGATTTAAAATACGAAATTGAATCATGAACTATCAAATTTTTACGAAAGTACCTCAATTACGGATAACCCTAAGTAACTCTGTTCTCTTTGAAAGGTGTGATGGAAACTACATATTAATCATATTCGTTGCATTTCCGATCCTGAAAATCGCCGTACTAAATAACAAGCCCATCCTCTTTTTCAGGCAGAGTGATATGTTAACCGAAGACAATGATCCGACGAAACCAGCAGGCGTTTTAGACAATGCTGGCAACGTGTCTTCGTCGACAGATGCCTCGGTACAGCACCCTCGAGCCGCAAACAATGGTAAATAAAGCTCCTCCATTCGGGGTCCATTTAAAAGGCCACCCTTTTAAAGGTCCATTTACAATCACGCAGCCATTTCTCTTCCTTTTTATTCACCTATTTATTCATTTATCTATTTATTTACCAATTCTTCCCAATTCCTTCCATCTTATCAATGCAACGCGACGATGAGATCTTGGACAAAACAAATTGCAATTTTCTTATTCTTTATCCACTTCTCTATTCACTTTTGTCTAATTATTTACGTATTTCTAGTTCTTTCCACCCCGTTCCTTCTTCTCCACCCCATCAAGATGATACAAAACCGCGGTGTTGGGATTTTGGACCTAAAAGAATTGCAAAACTCGCGTTTGTAAGGTAGCGAGCAACGTCAATGATAGCCGAAACCGGACCTGCAATAAAACGGTTTAAATTCGACGTTTCGAAAAGGCTTCCGTCTGTATTTCCCACTTCCCTTTTTGCGTGTGCCGCCGGTCGATTGAATTAAAACGAGAAACCCGGTGGCTGACGGTGCACCGTCGGGTTCTTCTCTTCTACAAAATGCCGAGATCGAGATGAACAGGTAGCTCTTTTATAACGAGCCATGGCTAATTGTTGGGGAAATTAATTACGCGCCGCAGTTTGAAATGAAATTAAATATCCTCGCCAGGACAACGGCCGCCTTCCTCAGACCGAGGAACCAGTTTCCGTCGTGTTAGAATTTTGATTAGTAGCTTGTTGAAATAACTCGAGAACGGCTGTGTTCGATATTGTACACTTTTCTTGAATCTTTCTGCTACTGGGGAAATATCGCCAAGCGTTTTTCGACCATTCAGTATCCCGTTTCCGAAATTTTTATCTTCCAAATCTCTCCTTTCTATTTAAAAAACAAACAATCGTTTGCCTCTTACCTTCTCCTCCATTTTGTTTCTGACTCCTTCACCAGCCTTTATAAAGTAACTTGTTTTAGCTGAGAATATTTTTAAAAACCGAATAATTAAATTATTTACACCGTAACATCTCGGTTACTGTGTTTCTGCGTATTTTTAAAACATATTTTGCGAAACTTTGCAACGACTGAATTTATTCGACCGTCGCGACTCTTTAAAATGGCGGAAGGAATTTAGAAGAACAGTAAAGTTTCGTTTAAGATACCAAATAGAAAGATAGATTCCCTTTTCTTTTTCGACTTGGACCATTGATGATAATAATCGAGCATTGATAAGTCAGGACAGAGTTGGAGCGTGGAAAGTGTTGTAAAGTAAAAACATGTGAACGCAAATCGTTTTACTCATACTGGCAGAGACGGAAGTCAAGAACGAGGTGCAAGATTGTCCCGAAAACGACAGCGTGCCCAGCGGGGAATTGTACATCGATGAGAATGCAGAGGAAAAGGAGCAAGAGTATCCGGATTCTATGGAAAAGGCGGACTACAGTTCGTTGTACGGAGCCAATCAATATTATAACAGGCACGTATTCCTCAAGCATGAACTGGATCGAAAAAGAATGGACATTCTTTCCTCCCAAACTCATCTTCAAACGTAGATTTAACGCTAAACTGATCAAGTTCTACATAGCTATTTCTGCCAAAGGTGTCAAATGATCGATAAAAATTGTGTTTTTTACAAGAGAATAATTAATATTTGCACGTCAATAGTCAAAATGTAACAGATAATAAATAGTCGAAGGACAGTGATAGTAAATTAACGGGATAATAGATGAGTAAAATAAATCAAAATAATTTTGGACAACGATACAAATATTAACTTCTTTCCTTTGAATTTTAAACAGAATCTAAAAAGAGAAATAATAGTCAAATTAAATGAACTTAAATCCAAGAAATAGTAGATATTAAATTTATAAACAAATATTGAAAAACGTTCATTTGATTGGCCATTGTAGGTTTAGCGTGAATTATCCCTTTTAGCAAACTCTTTTTGAACTTTTTATTATTTCAGGAAAGTCGGGTATAACTTGTTTTGATTTTCACCTGGAATATCGCGTTGGAATATTGGTGTTGAAAATAATATCAAAATTGGAACCGTATTTTAATTTGATTTTCCGAATTCCGCGCATGATTCAAAAATTTAAGGTCGGCTATACGAATATTCGCGAGACATTGTACGTACTATATAAAATTTCAGGATTCTATGTTGTATCCATAATTTTCTTCACGATTCACACCGTTAGTAGCACCTATACCAACCAATGGCGAATCACTCGTGAACTTTCGTTAACATAAATACTTTATGTTATCAGTTTATACAACTCACCTCCCTACGGATCAACCACAGCCGGGAAGAACACTTCAGGCTTGCAAAGTTCTTACCTGACCTCGTACACGA